GGCCACCGAATGACATGATAGGCCAGGCCCTCAAGTGGAATCCCGTTGGGAGGCGACAAGTGCGTCGTCCTAGGGTGACATGGAAGAGATCATGTGAGGGAGAGATGAGAGAGTTTGGTCAATCGTGGACCTAGCTGAAGAGGATGGCAGAAAACAGAACAAATTGGATATATGTGTTGTTGAAGCCGTATGTTCCACTTGGAACGCAAGGGAATAGTAATAATAATATTATAATAATTTTCAGACTATAAATATTTGAAATAAATGCATGACTCATTAGTAATTAACTGGTCAGTCTACTGGTATTTACTTAAATTCTATATACCAGCAACTTTTTATTGATCAAAATCTTATTTAATTTGAACTTTTCTACAATGTCTAAACTTCTCTAGTTTGATAGGTTGAACTGCTGTAATTTTGTGCAAAGTTCTGCATTAGAAACTCAGTCACTATAATTATCCCAATATTATGCTTTCCCTGGGACACTTTAGTAGAAGCTTTTTGAATTCAATCATTGAGAGAGGAAAATAAACAGTCAGCCTATGGACACATAATTTGGATATAGTTTCTTCTCTTGGGAACTTTCCAACCAAGAGAGATAAAACAAACTACACCATGAATTTATTTGAGATGTTCAAATTCCCTAATATATATTTTAACTCATTAGAAAGTGTCTTTCAAGCTGTGAATGACCAACTAGCTTATAACGGATTTCTTGCACAAGGTTCTGTTAGCCATCACACTACTTTGTATTACGGTGAATTAACCTTTGGTAGAATTTCGCTTCATAGGAATATCAAGTTTATTCACCTTTGATAGGTCATATAAGTGGGGTAGTCTGGTTCCTTTAGGCTTGAATACATTTTATGTGCTATTGTCGATCGAAATGCTTAGAATTTCCTCGTAGTTTTTCAGTAATTCGCGTCTCCATGGTATCAGTTAGATTTTTCAAGTTTGCTAATGCGAGGAATTGTATGAAGAATTTAAATTCTTATAACTGTAAATTCTAGTGTCTTCAAGTTGTAAAACATTAGCTGTGGTTGGCTACAGGATTTCACCATGAGCTGACATCGGTTAGAGAACCATTGGACAACCAGCAGTGAGTACTGGGCAGCTGTTTCGTCCAGCTAAGAGGACTGATGTGATGTTGAACCGATCAGTTTATAGAAAGCCTATGTAGAATGGCTAGTTAACGAACTTTTACAGTTGAGTACCCATTAGTTACAAGTGGCAGAAGAAGCATCAAAGATAGGACTCCAAGTAAATATAAATAAAACAGAGGTGATGAAGATTCCTGGGCAACTGCAACAGCAACAACAACAACGACAGACAACAATCAACATAAATGGAAGTAACCTGAAAGAAACAACCTCCTTTACCTAACTACCTGGAAGCATCGTTTCAACTACAGGTGAACTGACAAGGATATCAAAGTAAGAATCGAAAAGCAAGACAAGCTTTCATTACTCTCAAGTCTCTGTGGAGGTCAACAACACTCAGCATCGAAATCAGAATAAGATCCGGATTTTCAACTCCAGTGTGAAGTCAGTCAGTGCTACTATACGGATCAGAGACTTGCACTGCACGTCATTAAGACCATCTCAAACAAACTACAAACCTTCATTAACAGCTGTCTTCGCTCAATACTCAAGATCAGATGGCCGGCTAGAAAAGATCAACAGTAGGGGGGATCTCTGGGAGCGAATCAACCAGGAACCGATTATGTAACAAATAAGCAGGAAGAAATGGAGGTGGATTGGTCATACTCTGAGGAAACCATCAAGTGACATCACTAGACAAGCCATTGCTTGAGTGGAAACCGAAAGGGAAGCGGTGAGTTGGTCTTCAGTGCGACAGTGACGTGGAGGAGGTCATGTGAAGAGGAGATGAAAGCATGTGGGCAGACCTGGAGCCAGGTGAAAACTTTGGCAGAGAACCGAACGCAATGGAGACGCACGGCTGAAGCCTTATGTTCCTTTAGGAATTAAAGGAAATAGTATAATATAATAATCGTTACAAATGGAAACTGAAAGTGTTTCTTGAGACTAGGATGCAAATAATCTGCAGTCCTGAGTCAATAGATGAAGATACCGCCCATCTGAGGAAAGTACTACCTAAAAATGGCTACCCCGATGCTTTATAGATAAACACATGAAACTCCAGTCCAAAAAAGAACACCGCATCTGGGTTCCAAAGAAGATGCCATAAATGAATGCGACGTTTAAAGGTGATTTTCTGGCCGATACCCTAAAGAAGTCGGTATCAAAGGTTCTAAAAGGAATTCTTCTGGCTGCTAAGTTGAGACTGGTATCTTCCTGCACTCATTGTCCTCCAATAACTCTAAAGATAAACTGTCGCTTTTGACCACTTCTATGTGTGTCTGTCAGTTCACTTGCTCCTAGTGAGTGACAAATATATAGGTCAAAGGAAATCGCCCTGCTTGGTTATAGAAAAGTGACAGTGGATCTCGAAGGGGTGGTATAGATTAACATAAATTCAACACTGGCCACTCAGTAAGTAAGGAAACTTCAACTGAAGTTATCTACAAAGTCAAAAGAAGCCTCCTGAAAACGGTATACTTCCGTATATTTGAAACTGCTGAGGCCTAAGCAATTCAGAAGGAAAGCCCTGTTTTATGTGCACAGAAGAAAATTCTCCATTTTCTCCTTCTACCATGGGTATAATTCTAAGCTCAACTCTTACCATTGTGTGCGTCGGTGGCACAGTGGTTAGGACTCTCGCCGACCATGCACATGGTCCGGGGTTCGACCCCCTGCCGGCGCACACCCGATATCTATGGTCGGCCTGAATTTGGGCAACCGATATCCATGCTGAAAATTCCATACTTGTACTGAAAATACGGTGTGGAATCAAGCTGTAAATCAAAATAAAAAAAAAATAAAATAAATAAATTAATATCGTTAATATTTTTTGCTGTCTGTTTTCTTGATGCATTTATAATCACCATTTTCTTATCTAAACTTCTGTTTATTCTGTTCACCTACTACACAATTTATTTTGATACTTTAACCCCATTCTTATCAGATGGTTTGAGGCAATCGGCAGGAAATCCTGGACGTATGTTTCGTGCTTGCCAGAGCTCATCAACAAGGCGTATGTGCTATGTTGAAGGACCTCATATCCCTCTTGAGATTCGAACCCGTGTCACCCAGTACTGCAGTCAGAGGTGTTACCACTGAGCTAGCTCACGACTGACCTCTCGTACTACTGCATTGGACACTTGTCCGCACCCTCTTCCATTAACAACCAATTTTTCTGGACGCTGCAAATATTTTACACAACCTCAATCTAAACTTACTAATCTTCACCACCGCAGTTACAACCTGATTATTCGTCACTATTTCGAAATATTTTGGTGACTTAGATTATACTCCAAACTAAGTTTTATTCTTGCTTGACAAACTGAATGTAGACACACACAAAATTATAATGCTTAATTGGGATTGTATAGCTAGGTGAATGAGTTCGCGGAAATGAAACTCTCCACTGAATTGTTTGTTCTTAATGCCATGTCTCGGTGGGCGTTTTTCATGATGTCAGAGAACTTAAACGAAAGTTTGAAAATTTACAATTTATGGGTGATTAACCAGTATCATATTAAAGTCTTCAGAAATAAAGTTAAAAATGTGCAAAGTAAAAAAATGAGAATAATAACTATAATGGTAATAATAACAGTGGGTTTGTTTCAAACAGTATTGTCGACACAGTTTGGAAATTGTAGCATGTTATAGAGTATTGAATCCAAAGTTCTCTTGACATAGCTTGGTGAGGGAAAAACAAAAAATAACAATTTTTACAGAGCTTAAATAATATTTACACTTGTGAGGAAATAAAAAAGATGAGAGGATTATGAATATAAGAAGAAGAATAACAATAAAGCATGGTGGAATAAGGATGGAGAAAATGGTTTATCTACTAGTGCAAAGATGGTTAGTTAGTTAGTTCGTCCCTGACACTATTTTCATCACATAAACACGTACCAAATATAGTGTCGTGGAATTTTTATACTTTGACGTGTGCGTATAAAGTCTTTTGAAATGACTTCTTGTTCTAGCTGATGAGATGCAAGGTGAAAGCTGTGGATAAAGTGGATGCTCACAGTCTGACAAAGTTCCTTTAGCAAATTTGTTATATGAAATCAAGTGTCTATCAATGAGGATGTCAACGAAATGGCCCAATGTGATGCTGATCGCCCTACTGTCAGACTTCACAATCTTACGAAGTATGACATAGTCTTTTTTAAGCATTCCAGGTAAGAATAAGTAAGGGTGAACAGTAAAGAAGAATAGGAAAGATGCACGAATTGACAAACTGTAAGAGGATGGGTTAGTTGAGTTATGCCTGAGGGCCTTAATTTCTTAATTTAAAAAGTCAGACGAAATATTCTTTTAGAAATCGCTAAGACGTGGGAAGACCAGGATAGGTCAGAGGAAAGAATGAATCCAAGATACTTAACGTCAGAATTGTTTTCTATATCACTATCATCAATTTTGCAACGGTTATAGGAATTAACAGCTTAATTTGCCCTTCTTTTTCATCGGAAACTGAAATCAACGGTCTGAAATTTGGATAGTGTTATTAGAAGACGGAGATTAGAAGGATTTAAGACCATTAGACGAAAACCATTTGCTGACTCCTGATAGAAAGCTGTTCCTCTTAGTATAGTCTAGCTGGGAGTTAACAGGCATTGAACCTCTGAACTGATGTAGAAGTAATTTACTTCATTTTTTTGTTAAGAGCTAAGTCAGACATTGAACAGCATTGACGACATCAAGCCCAAAACAAGTGGAACGACCTCTAAAGTGTTTAAGTCGCTACAATCTTACTGGTATGCACTATTATTCGATGTGAGTGGCTTTCGCGACTACACATATCAGTCATCAATATGTATCATCACATAAAAACTATTATCCTTCAATATTTTTCTAAGTATTCCTAACTCTATTACTAACTAAACATTTCCTTTCATCATTCAATAGTGAAATATCTCCAAGATCAAATTATTTATTGAATACCTCAAGACATTTTAAATTATGCTGTCAACGTTTTAATACACCATGTTCAGAAAATACTTCTCCGAAGCATCCAAGATTGGCAGCTGATGAAAAGACAATCAAGTTAGAAGACAGACGACAACAGAATCTGATTGCTCAGAAAACAGCAGCTGAGGTAATACAAATATTATACATGATGTTTGTCAGTCAAATAACTATTACTCCACTACATTATAGTTGTTAATATATGGTAATTACTTGCATTTTGTGGGGGGTATTTTCAGGTTAGATGAATTATAAACTTAAAATAAGCATAAAGGCGCTACTTTTCTTGAAAATAAATCGCACAGCCTCACTCTCTAGAAGTACTTGTCTTTCGGCTTAATCAGAGTTGAACCCGCAGTCGACCAACAGGTTTCTCCCACCTTCATTTATCCAGTAAAGAAGCACGATACTATTCTGTAGTGGATTAGACTGTTTGTTTTCTTCATAAAGCTTCAACCGACCTATTTGTTTAAAAGTACATGCTCACTGAAGGGGAATTTATACAGCTACATTTTTTGAGGTTTTTCTGGCTGTTGCAAGGTCTAATCGGGAATTGAAAGTGTTCAGAAGTATCAAGTTCTCGATTCCACAATAGGTCAGATTGTGATCGTTAAAAGTATAACGTGGATACTGTGAAGTTCTTCTGATTTTGTGTGTTGTAACGATTTTTGCTTCAAAAATTAAGCGGAATATTTTTTGCTGTACACGATGATGAATGCTGGGGGGGGGGGGAATTCATTGTCATCATATTCCAATTCTGATGGCCTTGAACCCATCTGTGTTGATGAGTAATGCTTTTAATTGGTTTAACCCCTAATGTGTATTCTAAGATGGTTGAAGGCAATCGTCAGGAGGCCTTGGACTTGGGTTTCGTACTTATTGGCGCTCATCAGTCAGCAAGGAGTACCTGCAGTTGTGAAAGAGCTCGTGTCCTTTCTGATATTCACCTAGTAGTGTAGTCAGAGACGTTACCACTGAGCTATTTGGGCTCGTGACTGACCTCCTCTATTAGTCTATGGATACTTTGATTGGAAATTAGGAAGTAACTAGTGTTATGCTTCTAGTCCCTTGTCTGGAACACACTGAACTCCATCAGTCTTAACATTCTTGCTGATTGCTTCTAACCGCTTAATAATAGTAATTCACGATGTGCTGTATTGGTGAATCACTTAGCATGGTAGCCACATTAAAAACTTGACTGATAGAATTCAGTTAGCACCAAACAAAGGACTAGACACACAACACTAGTTACCACCTAGTGGCTGATCAATGAAATGTCTGTTCTGCGCATTACAGAACAGACATCTACAGATAAGAAGATACCTTCGTTAAACAGTTGGTTCAGCTTCTTTCTAACCATAGTAGATGGTGGTACCTTGTTGATTATTATTATTATTAATGTTTCCTTTAATTCCTAGAGGAAAATAGGGCTTCAGTCGTGCGTCTCCATTGCGTTCGGTTCTCTGATAGAGTCTTCACCTGGCTCCAAGTCTGCCCACACGTTTTCATCTCCTCTTCACATGACCTCCTCCAAGTCACCCTTGCACTGACGACCAACTCGCCGCTTCACTTTCGGGTTCCACTCGAGCGATGGCTTGTCTAGTGATGTCACTTGATGGTTTCCTAAGAGTATGACCAATCCATCTCCATTTCTTCCTGCCTATCTGTTTCACAATCGGTTCCTGCTGGGATGGTTCGCTGCCAGAGATCTCTGTTGCTGATCTTTTCTGGCCGGCCATCTGATCTTGAGTATTGAGCGAAGACAGATGTTGATGAAGGTCTGTAGTTTGTTTGAGATGCTCTTTATGACGCGCAGTGCAAGTCTCTGATCCGTATAGTAGCACTGACTGACTTCATATTGGAGTTGAAAATCCGTATCTTATTTTTGATGCTGAGAGTTGTTGACCTCCACACAGACTTGAGAGTAGTGAAACCTTGTCTTGCTTTTACGATTCTTGCTTTGTTATCCTCATCAGTTCCGCTGGCCTGTAGTTGAAACGATGCTTCCCAGGTAGGTAGGTGGTAAAGGAGGTTGTTTCTTTCAGGTTCCTCCCATTTATGCTGATTGTTGTCTGTTGTTGTTGTTGCTGTTGGTGGTGTTGGCCAGGAATCTTCATCACCTCTGTTTTCTCTATGTTCACCTGAAGTCCTATCTTCACTGGATGCTTCTTCTGTCAACTTGTTGCTTTTCGCCTGCATATCTTCCAGTTTGTGAGAAATCAGACATATATCATAGGCGAAGTCCAGATCCTCCATGTTTTTTGTGTGAGTCCATTTTATGCCTGTCTCCTGGCTGCCCGCTGCTGTTTGTCACGTTATCCAATCTACTGCAATCAAGAAAATCACTGGTGATAGTAGGTAGCCTTGTCTTACTCCTTTCCTCACTTCGAAGGATTCCGTAAGTTTCCCGTTGTGGATTACTTGGCATGCAGCATTGTCGTACAGCTGTTGGATGAGATGTATAATTGTCGGTGGCACCCCGTAGTAGCGAAGCAGTTGCCAAAGCACCTCTCGATAGATGCTGTCGAAAGCCTTTTTAAAGTCGATGAAGTGGAGATAGAGAGGTGACTACCATTCCAAGCTTTGTTCAATGATGATCCGTAATGTGGCGATCTGATCAATGCATGACTTGTTTCTCCTGAATTCAGCCTGTTCCGGTCGAAGTTTTCCATCCAGGGCATGTTTGATTCTCTCCAGTATTTCGTTTGGGATGGACAGGAGCATAATTCCGCGCCAGTTCTTGCATTGACTTAGGTCTCCTTTCTTTGGTAGTTTGAATAAGTATCCTTTCTTCCAATCCTCGGGTACTTTGCCTTCTTTCCACACCTTCTCCAGTAGTGGCGTCATCAAGTCCGCTGTTGTCTCTGGGTCCGTTTTCAATGCTTCTGCTGGGATTCCATCTGGTCCTGCTGCTTTTCCAGCTTTTAGCATCTTGATTGCCTTCAGGACTTCTGATTTCGTCGAAGGGTTGGTGTTCACTTGTAGCTCTGTCTCGGTTGTTGGTATTGTTGGACGCGTTGTCGGTGGTTGTCGATTTAGGAGTCTTTTGAAGTGTTCAGCCCAGTGTTTCCTTTGCTCCACTTCTTTGGTGATTGACTTTCCATTGTCATCCTTCACCGGCCTAATTTGTGTCAAACTTTTGCCCGATAGGTACCTAGTTCTTTGGTAGAGTGTTCCTTGTTGATGAGTCTGGTGTGAATAACACCTCATTTTATCTTGGATGTTGGAAATTACTGCCTGACAGTATTCTGTCTAGGCTATCAGTGTTTACCATCTATCATTTCACTGAATTTATGTGTGATATGCAAAACAACCAATCTGTTCTCATATGTTTCACACCTATAATTTCATCTGATAATAATCTTAGTAAATCTGTTGAACTTGGTATACTCTGTTCCCTGTCAATCTTCTGGAGTGAGTCATGCAAATTATACAGGTTGTTTACAATAACAAAAAAGGGATGTTACTGCGTTTTAACGCCCAGAATTCTGGTTAATAAAGAGTCTCCGATAGTGTTGTGAAACTATTTGCCATACCTCTGCAACCAGTTGCATGGTAGCGTATTTCTCAAAGAGCTGTTGATTCTATCTCTGCCTCACAAATTCAAGCTGGTAGCCAGATAATGACAACTATTTTTGGTAATGCCGAGAAGGATTTTAAAAGATTGTTCATGTGCTTTTTTACCTTTATTTTGTTTACTACTTATAAATAGTGAGTAGTTTGTCTCTTTCTCGAGTTTTCTGATGGCTACTTTACACGATTTATTTGTAAGTAGTTACAGTCTTCATTTCACTATCTCATTCAATCGATCGTGAAAAGAATAGCTGTCACCAAACTTTGGAAGAATCGGCAGATATTCTACTCATTCAGTTTGTTCCTAGAATGTTGAAAATGTTGAAAACCACACACTTTTGAAGACACAGACATTTCTTATGCGGTCAGTGGCTGTATCCAGCAATACCAAGCCTAAACAATAGTAGGAATTGCCCTATGTATATATTCTTTACGGCTCCAAATGATTCTGATGTAAGAATGAATTGAGTTTTCTGGAGTTTTCTGTGTATGACGTAACTGTCTCTTCTGATGACTCTGACTGTAATTAATTGTCTTCGGAGGTTTTCATATCCTTGTGTTAATCTATATTGGTGTCGATGGTTTCATTGGCTTCGTATTTGGCGTGTGACTTTTTCTTTAATGAATGGTCATTATGAGATGTCTCAACAGGTCTGATCAGTGCAGACAGATATGACTTGCAGGCTTCTAGGAATTCTCTGACATTCTTAGTATTTCCACTTTTTTAAAACTCCCATATTTTCTCACCCGGACTGCTGTCTTCACTTCAAATGTATTGATATGAAGGAACGCATACCACATCTATTTGTAGCTAGTTAATAATCTTGGATGTGAAGACAAAATGGACTGAATTTTTTCAGGTTTTAAATCTCCAGGGTCTTATCATTACTCCCTTGGGTGGAACATGGGGCTTCAGCAACATATCTCCACTCTCTTCGATTCTCTGCTATCCCCTTCAGCCAGTCACCCACCTCAATTACCCATAGTTTCTCACCTCTTCCTTCAACTCACACGATAGCCTCCATGTCACCCTCACATCGATGTACAACTAGTCAATTCTCAGTGGGTTTCCACTTGAGCGATGGCCTGCATTGTACGTGATATCATTCGACGGCCTCCTCAAAATATGCCCGATCAATCCATCTCCATTTTCTCCTACATATTTTTCGAGTAATGGGCGCTCACTTGTTGGTTTGTCCCCAGACAGCCAGAGTTTCTTGTTGCTAATTCTTTCTCGCCGGCCGGATGGCCATTCGATCTTCAGTGTGGAGCCAGCGGCGAAGTTGGCAACTGTAACTTGTTGGAAATCCGTTCCGTGACGTCGGCACCAAATTTATGACCCGTATGGAAGCAGTGACTGACTTCACATATTTGCGAGTGTGTCTTAGTAAGAAGTTAAATGTTCTTCTAACGAAACTATCCAAATTCATTTCTTGGTAAGATCACATTTCCCTTTAAACAAGCCACATAATATGAGTATTGAAATAATATATATACAGCAGCATTCCTCCATCTATGTTATTTGAAATACCATTTTAGTAGTCAGGATGCATTAATTTATAGCCGATCAGGAATGACTAATTTAATTTCACTATCCATTCCATTTTACATACGATTTGGTGGAAAATACCCATCAGAACATTAGAGAGAAATGGGAAACAGGCTTAATATGTAAATCCTTGAGTCACAAAATGTTCTTACACATAGTGGAGATTATTATTATATTATTATTTCCTCTAATTCCTAGAGGAATATAGGGCTTCAGCTGCACGTCTCCATTGCGTTCGGTTCTCTGCTAAAGTTTTCAACTGGCTACAACTCTGCCCACATGAGTTCATCTCCTCTTCATATCACCTCTTCCAAGTCACCCTTGCACTGACGACCAACTCGCTGCTTCCCTTTCGGGTTCCACTCGAGCAATGGCTTGTCTAGTGATGTCACTCGATGGTTTCCTAAGAGTATGGCCAATCCATCTCCATTTCTTCCTGCCTATTTGTTGCACAATCGGTTCCTCGTTGGTTCGCTCATTGCCAGAGATCTCTGTTGTTGATCTTTTCTGGCTGGCCATCTGATCTTGAGTATTGAGGGAAGACAGATGTTGATGAAGGTCTGTAGTTTGTTTGAGGTGCTCTTTATGACGCACCAAGTCTCTGATCCTCATGGTAAGTAGCACTGACTTCACATTGGAATTGAAAATCCGGATCTTATTTTGATGGTGAGTGCTGTTGACCTCCACACAGACTTGAGAGAAATGAAAGCTTGTCTTGCTTTTCTGATCCTTGCTTTGATATCCTCTTCAGATCCGTTTCCCAGGTAGGTAAAAGAGGTTGTTTCTTTCAGATTCCTTCCATTTATGCTGATTGTCGTCTGTTGTTGTTGTTGCTGTTGGTGGTGTTGCCCAGTAATCTTCATCACCTCTGTTTTCTCTATGTTCACCTGAAGTCCCATCTTTGATGCTTCTTCTGCCAACTTGTTGCTTTTCGCCTGCATATCTTCCAGTTTGTGGGAAATCAGACATATATCATCAGCGAAGTCCAGATCCTCCATGTTTTTTGTGTGAGTCCATTTTATGCCTGTTTCCTTATTGCCCGCTGTTTGTCGCATTATCCATCTACTGCAATCAAGAAAATCATTGGCGATAGTAGGCAGCCAGCCTTCTCTTACTCCTTTCCTCACTTCGAAGGCTTCCGTAAGTTTCCCGTTGTGGATTACTTGGCATGCAGCATTGTCGTACAGCTGTTGGGTGAGATGTATAATTGTCGGTGGCACCCCATAGTAGCGAAGTAGTTGCCAAAGCACCTCTCGATTGACGCTGTCGAAGGCCTTTTCAAAGTCGATGGAGATGAAGGAAAAATATCATGAGGGATTAATCTCTGCTTCAGATCTAAAAGCACTTCATCACGTGATACACTATAGACTGCTGTTTTACCCGAAGATCCTGGATGAGAAGGAAATATTTTACAATAAATTACACCGAGTATTCTGTAAACTGTATAAACACTTTGTTCTGAACATAGCTATTTATTTATTTATTATTTTTATTGTCACAATCGCATTCATACATATAATTTTACATCGATACAATTATTATTTAATTCTACATAATAACCGAGGAGATTGAAGATGACAATATTTTCCAGCTTGATATGAAAATTTGAAGGTGTGAATATAGATTGCAAGGAGATTAGAAACAGAATTACACAGAATTAGAAAATAGTTGCGTAATAGGTAGAATGGATAACCAGTAAGTTTCGTGGGGAGGAAAATGAGACCAAAACCAAAAGGAGAAGGTTGCGCTTCATAACAAAAGAGATTACTGCATTTTAATCTGGACTTCAGGGGGAAATTAGCGGCAGATATCCTAAAGAGGAGAATTTCCAGTTCTCCAAAGAAGGTCTTTCCTGCAGCAACACCAAGAGTGATATTTTTCTAGCTACCCATCGCTTCTAAGCAAAGTGAAGGACAAGCCTCCGCATATGACCCCTCCAATATGCACATATCAGTTCACCTGCTCCTACGGAGCTAGGTACATAGGTGGTCCTATACGTTTCCTTCCAAAGTGTGTTAGATAACATTACCCAGTACATTTTCAAAGTTGTGAGACACTGGTTCAGTCAGAAGCGCCCTAACTTAACACCTTGTCAACACCTGTCACAGTCTCTCAACTGATTCATCATTCAGAGTTATGCACAAAGTGAACAAAACTCCACCAAAGGCAGTATGTTTCCGACTTTTTTATACTGCAAAAGCCCTCACCATGTGCATCGAAAAGTCAAAGCTGTGTGTTCAAAAGAAACTAGTCCAACCTTTAGTTAGGTTTGACTCTTTTATTCTCGTCCCCTTATTTTTTCATTCTCCTCATGTTTTTATCTTCAGCTATAAAAAAAACTATTATTTCAATTTGTTTCTTTGCTCATCCTGTCCACACCTTTCTGCGTCAAAAAACTATTTTACACATTACGCAACTATTTTGTAATCATGTGTAATTTTGTTTCTAATCCCCGTGTAATCTATATTCACACCTTCGAATTTTCATATCAAGTTGGAAATTATTACCATCTTTAATCTCCTTGGGTATTATGTGGAATTAAATAACAGCTGTATCCAGTAAATAAACTCGTGCCTATAAATGCGACAGTACAGCTTTTGAGAATGACATCTCAGAAAAGTCATACCTTTCCCATCATTTTCTACATTCACTTTCAAATATTACTTTAATTTTCTTTATCAAAGATCACTGTAGCACTTGGTTTATGGAGAAGAATACATAAAATGCATCAACAGATTGAAAGCATTCAAAGAGCACATGAAAAACGAGAACGTGTACGTGAAATACGCCAGTGTCATACACAAAGAAGTTGGGAGAATATTTTAAGACGCGGGAAAAGAATAGCTTTATTACAGAAACAAAGAAATCGTGAGAAAATGCAACTTGACAGACGAAAAATGGAAAGAATAAAGGCACAGAATGAAGTAAGATATTATCGTTGCAGTTATGTTTATTTTCCAAATATTATATAGATTATTGAATTTTTTCTCTTGTTGTCATTTTATTATCTTATCTACTCAGACGAGCACTTTTCGCTTAATAGTGAGAACTCGGAAGTTTCAAATTTAAGGGACAACAACTATTTACCAGACAAAATCAAAGTCACAATTTGCAATGTATATAGATCGAAGACAGAAATTTTTCCACCACAGTTTCCTTTGAAAACTAAATTACTTAGATCACAGTTTATAGTCTGATGGATACCATAAGTGGTAATCAAGAAAGGAGGCATATTTACTTAAAACTGTATACTACTGATTGGTTGAGATGAATAGTTGTGTACCACCCACATCAACCAGTAGTTCATGCTACCTAGATCCAGGTCATCCAAACACCGGAGGGCAGTTTCACTCGTTTGATGCCGAGTTCGTCAGTGGTGTACTTGGTTTGACTTAGCTCAGACAGTCGAATCAGTTCGGATAACCAGATTTCTGGATGGCTGGCTAGTAGACTAGTACCACTGGCTGCTATGAGTGGTAAGCAACTATTCATCTCAATAAGCCATTACCACAAGGTTCTATGCAAACTTATTTATTATTCTTAATTCTTCACTATCTCACTATGTGATTTATCAAATAAACGAAAAAAATAAGGAGAATTCTGTATCGTTTAGAGATAAAAGCAACAACTTCCACGATTTTTCCTTTAATTTTTATACTACTTATTAATAGTAAGTAGTATAGTCATGTTAGTTGTTATTAATTACCGACTTTTTAGAAGTTAAATAGTGTTTACAGAAAATTGCATCGGTGGAGTTTATGAAAGGAATTAAAACACTCCAATGAATTTCGCATAATTTCAGATAGACCTTACTCTTTCTGCATTTTAGTCAATTTCATAACCAAAAATCTTACACTGACCTTCGATGCTTGTTGAAGCTTTTTGACCGTATTTCCAACCTTCTGCCTAACTGTACAATTGTGGTATAACTTAAGGAATAGAGTCTTTTCTGCTGATCATTGTACATTTGATAAAGTACTGTTGTTAAGTATTAGTCAATGACACTGTGTACTTATTCATCAATGGACATCGTTTAGAGAACCAATAGGAAGTGAGGAGTAATCGATAGGTGTTTTGTCCTACTTTGATACTCTTCATCAGTACGTGACGGTAGCTTTAACCCAGGACCTTCACGACACGATGCAGACTTGCTAACAGGTATTCACATGATTGGCATCTAGCCGCATATGTGATTCCCAGTGCAGAAATCTGGGTGGAGTTGCATCAAACGAGTTCACAATTACAAAATTTTGTACTGATCATATTGTGTTGAATAGTAATCACAGTTGTTATTTTTAAATCTTTCCCTTAAGCAAAATGAGAAATTGAAGTCTAATCGCGAACGCATACGAACCATAGGAAATTATCATAAGCAGATAAGAAAAAATTACCAGTTAACTCAAAATCAAATGAATCATGAGAAACGATTATCAGAGCGAAAAACTTACATTAGAGAGAAATCTGAAGAACTTTTAAATTTACAAACTCGAACACGTGAAATCAGGTAACTATACTTTTTCTTTTATAAATCATACTTTGAAATTCCATATTAGATAAGTTCATTATTGAATATCACACAGTGATGATGCAGTATGAACAACTGGATGACAGGGTTTCGAGCACAATTTACTGAGCATATTCATATCAATTTAGTCACACAGTTTCACAATTTGTCTTATATATGAATTTTCTCTCTCTTCTGTCTCTCCAGCTTCCCTTTGTTGTTTCTTGTCACTTTCCATATATCCGGTATCATAGGCGTTGCATCATTCCGATCGCACGTGTACGGTGTTGAACCGAAGATGAACAAAGCTTCAGTGATTAACCTCTCTGTCTCTCAATCCACGTAACTATATTACTCTTTCTAATACTTTCACTCTGTCCCACCCACCCTAATTTGTGATTACATGCAAATGAATGCAGTGCAGTGGATGAGCTTTTCTCTAGATTATTTAAACTGGCAGGGTCAATTACTCCAGGTTTGGCTAAATTCTTATGTTCCGATAATGTAGTTGACCCCGACCTACTTGTTCGAAGATCAAAATAATGAAATCAAACAAATAAAGGAAGTATTACTAGTGAATACCTACCCATCAGAATTTATTCAAAAATACGTGGAGAACGATAGAAAAACTAAGATAGGCAATAAAAATGACGAAAACAATGAAAATAACATCGAATTCAAAGCCTCTGTAGTCCTGCCGTATAAAAAAGGAACATCAGTTGCCTTACGTAGGATTCTCAATGAGGCTGGAATTAGGGTGGCGTTTAAACCAACCTACAAACCCTCTCAGAGATGAACTATGTCCTTTGGCTTAAGGACCGAATAGATCCAATTGAGGGAAATAATATAACTTACCAAATACCATGTAATGCTGACTGTGAGGTCAGTTACATAGGTCAAACTAGTATATCGAGGTCAACTCGATTATTGGAACATAAAAATTTAGTTAGACCTAGAATAATTGACACTGCTAAGTTAGATAACCTACAAAAAAGCTCACCCATTACACTGCACTGCATTCACTTGCATGTAATCACAAATAGAGTGGGTAGGACAGGGTGAGAGTGTTAAAAAGGAAAATAGCTAGATGGAGAGATAGAGTGGTTAATGGATTCAACACCACACACGTGCAATCGGAATGACGCAACGCCTATTGTAAGCGCAATATCGCTTGAAATTAAGTCACGCGTAGATAAAGGCTATCCCGGTCCAGAACAAACAAGAAGCCGGTCACTGTTTCTACAGTACTATTAATAAACAAATCAATAATTATATATATAACAAACCTTAACGGTTTCAAGAGTACAAAGAACAACGCTTAACAGAAAGCAAGGTACCGCTATCAGAGCGGAATAACGTTAAAGCCAAAATTGCGAACTAGCCGGAATCAGACACGACCGTTCACGTAAGCAGTCAGTAGAAGAATGAACCCAAGTAAGAGATAGACAGAGCATAGGCACAAAGATGGAATTTAATTGGCTACTTAACCAATCAATAAATAAGATAAACTCGACAGAATAGTAAAAAGTAAGACATGGGTCAGCAAAATAACAGTTCACGAAAATACTCCGATTGGGTCATGAGTTCAACTGTCTGACTAAACGGATCGAAGTAAAAACACACATACACAGTTCATTAAACAAGGTGGGATAGACGCGTTAGGCATGGACAATTGGGTTGCAACAAAGCTAGGCTGATCCGGGACAGGTTGACTTGATTTAAGGATGGGAATTGAATTGATCTTACACCTATGATACCGGAGATATGGAAAGTGGCGACCAACAACAAGGGGAAGAGGGAGAGAGAGAGAAACAGAGAAAACATACATAAGTATTGCTTTTCCATTGGTTCTCTAACTGACGTCAGCTCATGATGAAATCCTCCAACCAATAAGACATATATAAGACAAATTTTGAAACCGTGTGACTAAACTGATATGAATATGAGCTCAAAACCCTGTCATCCAGTTGTTCATACTGCATCATCACTGTTTGATATTCAATAATAAACTTTTCTAATATGGAATTAAATTTTACCACAGTGCCCAACGTCTACCCTTACATTAATTGTGCTTTGAAATAATAGAAAAGATGTGTAGCTCAGGTGGATGATTTTGATTTGGTTGTGTTCTCTAAGCTGGTTGATTTAACTGTGAAGCCCTTCATTGACCCGTCATATCTAATATACACAGGATCCCTGTAGTGGAAAGACTCTTCGGCAAATCTCTCCTGAACGATCTATTCACAATATTTCTACTTATTCGGATATTTCAACCAACCTTGTAATTATTATCTGTTTTTATCCCTAGATTGCAAGTCATTGACTGAAATTATCATATCATCTGTTGATTCGATCCTTATTATTCGTCTTTGTCCCTGTTTAATCTCTAATGTTAGTGCTCCTCTTCGTGGTTATCTGATGATATTGATAATGTGTTGTTTTACGACTGCAGTTTTTTGAGTGAATGAAGGTCATTCTGACCTTGGACCGTCTAGGGGAATTCTTTGGTGCGTGCTTTGATTCCACCTTGTTGAGGATATTCTACTTGATTCTGAGTACTCATTTTGTACTGGACTGTATCACTTCCTAACGGCAATATTGAAGTAATTTTAAGATTTGATGACATAATTGTTTGGTAGTACCGCGAATTAATTGAAGAATACTTATCTATATTGTGTCTTTGAAGAGTTTTGTGACTGAGTGTCTCCCAAGGAAGTTTTCTCAGCTATACAGCAGGATATAGAGATATGTTTCATGCGCTAAAACCTCAATGAGTCGCTTTTATTCCTGCAATAATCAGAAAATGCCTCAGTTAGTTGTTGTAGGTTTCTTTAGGAATCACAGCTGTGGAAGATTGATCAAACGAACTTTTGTGTAATACGTAACACGCGAAAGACAAGCTGTCGCATTGGGCCACCTCAGCGTGCATATACCAGTTCACTTGCTCTTGTGGAGCTGAGTACATCGGCCGTACCATGCGCCGACTTGGAAAACGCGCTCGTGAACACTACCCAGCCTGGCTAGTAAAAGGAGACCAAAAACGCGTATACGGTTCAGTGACAGAACATCTGGTCAACTCAGGACATTCAGCGCCTTTCGAAAAATCCTTCAAAGTAATATACAAGATTCAATCAAACCTATCAAGGGGAGTGAAATCAAGGTGAAATCAAGACACGTGGGCATAGCTGAGGCGTTAGCTATCCAAAAACTCAAACCCACTCTTTGCATCCAAAAGAAATACGTCCAACCCCTGTCCCTGCCATGGCCATCATAAACAGGTATATTTTTTAATAATGACCATCCCATCGCCTTTCTTATCTAAACTTCCTGTTTATTCATGTTATTTTAAGTTTTCTTAATCCCTGTCTACACTACCATATTTTCATATCCACACTTCCTGTTTATTTTGTCACTTTACTATTTCTACATATTTAATCCCTGATTGCATAAACAATAATTCATCACACTAGTTTTTTATCCAAACATCCTGTATATTTTGTTATTTCTACATTTCTAACTCCCAATTGCACAATGTCAATCTTCTTAGTTATTATAATGCTACTTTATTCGAGTTTTATCCGCCTCCCCTGTTTATTATGGCATTCTAATTCCTAATTGTAATTTTTGTTAATTTGACCCTTAACCAGAAATTATTCTGAAACTTTCCCATCCATTTGATATAAATACACGAATGTACAGCCTAGATGATGACTTCGTCGAAAAGAAAATTTTCTTCGCTGCAACTGTCTTCTTATTCCCTATGATCAAATGTGTATATTCCGTGGTTTTTAACACGTAAAACCCAAAAACACAGCATTTGTCTAAAGTATGGTATTATATTATAAGAAAAAATAATGAATATAATACACGAACCTCAAATTGTGAGGTGCCGATGGGTGAATACCGTCAAATGCACTGCCACTGTGCATCAATAAGAAAAATTCAGCAAAGCTCTGTCAAGCTTGACCGACAATCAAGGTTAAACAGAGTGCGAATGTCCAGATTACCAATAAAGGGATTAGAAGAAACACAGTTCAATTGAGAGGGGTATATAAATAAGGCATACACAACAGATACACTTTGCCTCTAAGAAGATCATTCCTATAGGTCAAACAGAATATGAGTTCGCTCAGTGAGATAAACTTCAATAGCAAAAAACAATTATAGTTGCGAAGTAACAACATTGTAAATAAAATATAAGTCATACTACTTGCTAGTAATAAGTAGTATGAATTGGACATAAAAGAAAAAGTAACAAGAGAATAGATAAGAAAAGAATTAACACTCGTGTAAGTGAGACGCAGTTACTATTGAACTTTAGAGTCTTTACTGCACTGCATTATTATTATTATTATTATTATTGTTTCCTTGAATTCCTAGAGGAAAATAAGCTTCAGCCAAACGTCTCCACAGCGTTCTGTTTTCCGCCAACATTTTCACCTGGCTCCACGTCTGCCCACATGCTTTCATCTCCTCGTCACATGATTTCCTCCATATCACCCTCGCACTGACGACTAATTCTCCTTTTCCCATTTGGGTGCAACTCGAGAGAGAGCCTGGCGTTTGATGTCACTCACTTGATGGTTTTCTCAGAGTATGGCCAATCCACCTCCATTTCTTCCTGCATATTTCTTGCACAATCGATTCCTGGTAGGTTGGTTCGTTCCCATAGATCCCTGTTGCTGATCTTTTCTGGCCATGTTATCTTGAGCGAAGACATCTGTTGATGAAGGTCATTAGTTTGTTCAAAGTGCCTTTCGTAACGCGGCGCATTGGATTTGAAAATCCGTATCTTCTTTTTCATGCTGATTGTTGCTGATCTACACAAAGACTTGAGAGAAATGAAAGCTTGCTTTGTTTCCCCGATCCTCGCTTTGACATCCTCATCAGATTCGTCCACCTGTAGTTGAAATGATGCTTCCCAGTTAGGTAGGTAAGTAAAGGAAGCTGCATCCTTCAGATTTCTCCCATTTATGCTGATTGTTGCCTGTTGTTGTTACTGTTGCTGTTGGCCAGGAATCTTCATCACCTCTCTTTTCTCTAAGTCCGCCTGAAAGAACTCCTGTCTTTTCTGGATGCTTCTTCTGCCAACTTGTTGCTTTTCACTTGCATAAATTCCAGTTTGTGGGAAATCAGGCATACATATATCATCGGTGAAATCCAGATCCTCCAAGTTTTTGCGTGGGTCCATTTTTTGCCTGTTTCCTCATCGTTGCCCGCCGCTGTCTGTCGCATTATCCAGTCTACCGAAATCATCAGGAAAATCATTGGGGATAGTAGGCAGCCAGCTCGTCTTACTTTACTGCACTGTATAGGTGTAGTATTATTTACATACATACAAAATAAATTAATTGTAGGATTTTTCTTTAGCTGAATTTTTCTATATTTACGAGATTCTATTCCATACGTTGTACTAATATCAATTATTAATTCATGTCTTTGTAATTGTTCCTTTAGATCCCGACTGAATCATGCTAGTGAATCTGTTAAACAACAACAGCATCAATTGGCTACAGAAATTCAATGGAATCAAATATGTGATAAATTAAACATTGAAAATCACCTACAAGAACGTAGAACAAAAGAGATGGCAAAGATTGTAGAGCACACGAAACAATTGCGTAATCAGAAGCTTGTAAAGATTCCTATATTAGTTAAATTGACTAATTTAACGTTGAATGATAAAAGCTGAATACAGTTTAATGCATTTTACGGGTTCACTTCCAAGCTTTGTTTGTTACAGCCAGTTTGTTGAAACAACGAATTTAAACTATAAGACTGATGTAGTTGCGTTGTTAATTTTCAATGACCTTAGGTGTTCAGATCCCTTGCAGTGGTTGTAATAAGTCATTGTATGCGGAACAGCTTCGTCTTTTATAAAACTAATAATTTCAAATTACGGAGAAAGAAGATTAAGTGGCATTAAAAATTGTTCAGTCAGAATATGCATGGCAAGAATAAAGATAATAATTAACATGATGTTCAAGGGAGTAATTACTAAAGGTTTTGAAGGAAGGGAAGGTGCCTACTGATTAAAAGAAAGGTTACCTTGTCAAACCAGCAAAGAAAGGCGACTTACGCCTCACTCTACAAGAACTGGCATGGATTAATGGTCATGTCAATGCCAAGTAAAATACTAAGTCTCTTCAAACTTGAGAGAATAAAAGATGCACTGAATGCAGGACTCCGTCCCACCCTCTATCACAAAAACAAGCTGGATCCAAGGAAGGCAAATCGTGTGCTAATCGAATTGCAACTCTACACATCGTCATCCCAGAACAAATCAGAGAATGGCAGTCAAACCTTTCTCTAACTCAACCTCATCGACTTCGAAAAGGCCTTCGACAGACAGCGTTGACGGCGTGAAGTGTCCAAGTCTTTATCAACCTCATTCAACAGCTGGCTATATGACAGTGCCAGGTGTAGGTGATCCACAACGGAAAACTCAGCGAGGTGTTCGAAGTGCATACAGGAGTAAGACAAGGCTGCCTATTATCACCATTGATATTTTTAATTGTGGTGGACTGGATTATCCGTCAGACTGTGGGGAGCGAGGAGACAGGTATATGCTTAAGTGATAACAAGACTCTAGAAGATCTAGATTTCGCGCATGGATGATTTATGTTTAATGTCATATAAACTCGAAGACTTGAAGTTAAACACCGGCAAAATGACTGAAGAAGCAGCCATAGCAGGCAGGAATCCAGGTGGACATAAAGAAGGTGGAGATGGAGGTGATGAAGATTACAAACTGCCACCAACAACAAAAGGCACCAATCATCATCGATGGGAGAAATTTGACAGAGGTTACTTCCTTCACTTATCTAGGAAGCATCGATTCAACTACAGGGGAACGTATGAAGATGTCAAAGCAGGCCAGAATGGGAAAGGCAAGATGCACCTTCATCAGCCTGAAAGCAGTTTGGAAATCTCATGCACTGCACTCAGCCGGCCATCCAGCATAAACAACAAGATTCGGATTTTCAACACAAATGTGAGTTCACTCAGTGCTACCCTACGGAGTCAGAAACTTGGCCAGCGTGTCACATAAAGGATTTCCAACAGACCACTGCTGACATTTGTCAACAGCTGCCACCTTCATTGGTTGACTCCAGAGAATTGGCAAGAGGAAACTCTAGCTGGCTGGGAACAAACCAACAGGCAAGAGTCGACCGCTCGACAAATATATAGGAAAAATGGAGGTGGATTGATTGGCTATACGTTGAGAAGACCGTCGAATAACATTATGCACAATGCAGGCAATGACTCGAGTGGAATCCCAATGTGAAGAGACGATTGGGTTATGGGTGAAAGGGTGACATGGAGGAGATCGTGTGGCGAGGAGGAAATGAGACATAATAGTCAATCATGTGGCTAGCCAGCTAGGGAAACAATAATAATAATAATAAAAGCAGTAAAGTTGAAGTGTAAGAATTGAAAGATTTTTAAAGGTTATTAAATGAGTGAATTAGTTTTAAGAGTCTTAAATTAGGTCAAATGTTGTCACACAAATTAAAACGTGAACATAGGCTGACGAATTCCTGCAATCTGTCAACACTTTATGAAGTCTGGTCATTCAGCCCCAAGAGATTTAACCTTTAAAGTTGTCTACAGGGCCAAATCCACCCAGTCTTAAAGTTTAGGTCTTTTCCACTTATGTGTCGCCGAAGCTCTGGCTATACTAGGACAGAAGCCTAAACTATGTATCCGGAACCGTTCTGTTAATTCCTTTACTTTACCTTGTTCATAATAATGCACCTTCTATTTTCAATTAAATTTTACCACTTGAATTCATTCCAGTTCTCTTCATCTTTGCATACTTTATTGCTATTATAATTGCACTTTTAATTTTGACGTCATTTAGCCAACTTTTAACACTTGCAATATCACTTCACTTATTTAATACTCTTGCAAAAATTTTGAAATCCATGCACTTCAACTCTACCCTCTTAAACATCGTGTTAACTATCTTTATTCTTATCATACGTCTATTGATTGAGTGATTTTTAGTGTGACATAATCCCTTTCTTTCTATTTTATAAGTACGATTGTACAGTTACGTGAAAATGAAGTCGTTGAAAGGAATTTTTTGCTCTGGACGAAAGCTGTGTTTTTCCTTATTAATAAATGTGTATATCTGCAACCACAGAAGACAAGGGCCAGGCAACAGATCGTTTATTGGGAAAATCAACAGATATTTATAGATTTTTATGTACATTATTATTCGTTATTATTAGCAGAGAGGTAACGCCTTCTGATTGGTTGTTTTCCCGCTGAAGGTTATTCTGTCATCTCTTTGTTGCCGTTTCTTAGATAGTCCATTGATACATATCTGCTAATCGTAACCGCCCACGCTAAGTCTGCTGTGATTGGTTGTTGAGTTAGTCTTTGTTCTTGTTTTTTTCTCATGACCAAGATTTGGGACGTAAACATTGACGTAAATTACTGTCTACCAACTTTGGCTAGCAGGCAGCTCTCACCACATATTTTGTGAATTCCCAGTCACACAGTTGATATCCTGTTGTATAAATGGAACTTCTGAATAACACCAGAAAAAACATTTGAAGTCTCACATTATCCGGTAATGCTTTCTTTTTAAGACCTGCCTACTTCAATGTTAATGGGATATGGAGTCACTGAAATTATTCCTAAAAGCGTCGTTTGACCATGACATTTATTATTTCTTGCAGGGTTAGTTCTCATATTCCTTCGAGATTATTTATTTCCTGACAGAAAAAGCTTATGTGCTTATTTTAGACCACCGTATAAGTAGAATGTCATTCAGTTGAGAGCAAGCAGTTATATTATCAATTAAGAAACTATGTCAGCCTGTTGTTCGATTTCGAACATAGTGATACAGCATTCTATACTGGATGACGTCCAAAACACGATGTATCCTAAGTAATCATACCATAGCAGTCACCTGATTTCGGTGATGGCCTGATGAAGTCACTGGGTGAATTGATTTTCTACAGATCACAGCGCATCAAATTTACTCCGTTATAATTTGTTTTCACCACCGGTTAGGATTCTCGCTGACCATGCACATGGTCCGGGGTTCGATCCCCTGCCGACGCACACCCGATATCTATGGTCGGCCTGCAAAATTTGGGCTACCGATATTACATGCTGAAAATTCCATACTTGTACTGAAAATACGGTGTGGCATCAAGCTGTAATCAAAATAAAATGAAATAAATAAATATGTGCTCAAGTGCATTTTATGATTTTTAGACGGGAAAAATACGCCGAAATTTGGAGCATGCTGCAAATATAACGAAATCTCACCAAATGATATACTGCAGAGCACTTTTCTACTTAAATATTCTGTTTAATAAGAAGGTAAAACCAAAATGAGAATTCGTTACCATCTGAAAAGTCTTAATGCTATTAAAGACGAGAAAGGAAGTCACGAAGTTACTGGGAAGTAAAAAGTTGTGCACTTGCTGTTATCTGATTAGGTATGATGGATTGTACTTTGCATGTCATCCGGTAAATAATGCTGCATGGATGTGTGTGTCCGATCCGGTTTCTTGGTTGACAGTAGGAATATTTATTCTGAAAAAAAATAATAACCTACTTATAAGTAGTCTAAAGTAATTACTTAAACGTTTACTAACCAGGAAACCATTTATCTCAAGGGGCATCTGAGAACTGCCTTGCAAGAATTGATAAATGGCATAATTGAATAACATTCTTAACAATAATTTCTGTGACATCATATTCTATTCAGTTATACAGTGGAAAATGGTACACCATCAGAGTGCATTAATTCTTAACTCATTTTTGTTGTTACGTTAAATATTGATACTGATGGTAAACTTTACAGTAACTTGTTTGTAAAAGAGGTCTAAGTAGACAATTCCTGAAGAAAAAAAAGATTTCACGCTAACACTTCCTTATGCTACATGCATATGTCGAGAGTCATTTATAGAAAGACTAATTCCCGTTGAAAGTTCTGAAGTCGAACAATTTAGAACATTCAATGAATCGTTATTTTTCAATTTCCCAGCTGTTCAAAGGCGATTGTTTCATAATCATCATCTAGGAGAAAATAACGGGTAACTGCACTTTCTACAAGAAAACCCCTGTAACTAGAATTTTGAGTAATTCCCACTTGAAATAAAAGCGCAACCATCCAGTAAACAGACTGATGACCCTGTTTCTAATTTTTAAAATACCATCACTCAATCAGTAGATCGAGTAAGAATGTGCCTAATTTTGTTCGCTCTTTTGTGTTCGACTTGATACTACTCATCACTAATAAGTAGTATGAAATCATATTTTCATACTTTTTTACCATAACTATTGTTTGCCATTGGAGTTTATCTCACTTAATATATTATTATCCCTTTACGTTTAAACAGTAACTGCTGCACAAGCTTTATTTATATTCCAATTTCTTTTGGACTTTGTTTATACCAATCACTTTATTGTTAATCCAGACATTCCCAAGCTGTTTAATCTGACAGAGGATTGCCCCTGACACATATTTTCTTATTGGTATATAGTGACAGTAAAGTTGATGGCATTCAGCCACAGCCATAGTTTTGTGTGAAAAAACATATCACAATAACATTCAGTGTTGAATCAAAAGAACACAATACATGTAGAAATTGCTTTCTCACCTAACCTCAGCTACTGTCTTCATTCAGCTCCAAATTATACTATTTAATACTTCTAAGTAGTATG